TGGATGGATGGATGGATTGTGATAAGAGCTATAGGATTTATTTGTTTAAAAAAGAGCTGTAAGAGCCCCCAATAAAATGATTTGTAAAAATAATCATAATGAGGGCTACTAATAAAGAACAAAAAGAAAGGAAGACCCCGTCATTCCACAGGCCCTTGGCATCCTTCCGGGTGTATCTGATGCTTTGTAAGGTGGATAGAAAAGTCCCAACCTTCATTTGTGACTCGTTACATATGGAGCATCTACTATACCCTCAACACTGTGCCACAGACCTGAGTTACAAGAGCGTGTCATGGCCAAGAGCGAGTCTTTGATGTCAGGCAGTGTCAGAGGAACCCAGCCCCCAACAACCGAAGGGCCAGTGGGTGCAAATGTACAGCGATGACATATAAAGATGACCGTAAAGTCACAGAGGATCGGAAAGGCAGGAGAGAGAATGCAATAAAGGAGTCAGACACAGTTTAGGGTCGCATGCTCACCTCAGCCCCTCTTGGTGGTCCACATGGAGAAGAAAGGAGAGCCTTTATTAACTTGGGATATTTATAGGTAGCCGTAAGCCATGCATATTCAGTAGTGGCATGCGTCACAGGTGGGTGGTATCTACATTAGGGTCCCTGTGCGCACAGGTGAGGAAACTTAATACCTGCACTGGGGGAAGGTACATGGGAGGTTGGGTGTCATGATGGAAGAGAGAACAAAAGGATCATGTCTGCTTCTGTAGGGAGAGAGAATCAACCATGTGCTCACTATAAGGCAGCACAGCTGTTAGGGGAGACTCCGTGGGAACGCTATTTAAAGCAGGATCCTGTATTTGGACTTGATCTCTAACTTACCAAAGTGGAGGCTTTCCTACCGTGGGATACCAGCTTTCCAGATTCCCTCTGTTACAAGTTAGGGAATAGAGTTCCTCCTCCTGTTTCCCTCTGTGCGAGTTTCCCACAAGGCAGTTTTGAATGATTGTGTGTGTGTGAAGTTCATGACTTTTTAAAAGAGATAAAGAACCCCCAATGGAACAGCCCTAATTGTCATCGCCTCTGGTGAAGATCAGCAGTTCTCACCTTCGGGCCTCCGTTCTCGAGAGAGGGGTCAGAGCTGGTCTCCTGGTAGCGCATCTTCTCGGCCCTTCACAGACACGGCCTTTTGTCCGTGCGTTTGAAACTAGCCTGCGGGTCACCAAAGAATGTAAGTCCGTTTCCGCTGGACTTTCCCGCCTTTCCGCACCACCCCTCCCGTGTTTAGGTCGGCGGCTGGGTAAGGAAACTAGAGGGTTTTGAAGGGCTGTGCAGAGATTTTAATTCGATTCATGGTGAGCAGGACCATGACTGTTTTCTCTTTCACTTGGGGAAGAGGATACCTACCGAGGAAGCGCTTACCCTGCGGAGCTGTGGGTGCAGGATTGGAGGCCAGGTTGTATAGTTGCCCATCATCTCAATCAAAACAGTGACAGGATCCCAGGCCCCATCCTCCTGCAGGTGGTTCTCGATGCTACTTTTCCCTCTTCTTTCGTGTGCGCGCGCGCGCGCGCGCTGTTTTTTGCAACTGGAAGGCCCATGGCAACTCCCTGAGTGGAGCAGGTCTCCCTACGCCATTTTTACAACAGCGCTGTGCTCACTTCCGGCCTCTCTGTCCCATCTTGGGAATTCTCGTAATATTTCAACCTGTCTCAAGATGCTCCTGCATCCTTAGTAGGAGCTCTGGTGGTGGGATGGTTATGCCTTGGGCTGCTCACCGAAAGGTCAGCAGTTCGGAACCACGAGCCTCTCCTTGGGAGAAAGACAAGGCTTCCTACTCTCATAAAGAGTTATGA